CAGATCTGAGAGGAACAGCAGAGGGTCACAGTCAAGTACTTGGTGTCTCAAAGTGCATCAAGATGCAGTTGTGGCCTTCTGGAGCACTGGCCTCAGCTAGCAGTGTTCCAGCCTGTTTTGTTTTGTGAATTGCCCCTTAGCAGCCTTAAACCAGCTACTGCATCTCTTCTGAGAGCACCTGCTTAAGGCCAGTAAACTGTAAAACAGGTTCTCTTATCTAAGGGTAATGTCCCCAGCTGGGGTGGCTGGGCTTCCTGCCAGCTGCCCTTGGAGGCTTTTTCATGCAGAGACTGCATGATATGAGTTTGTATTGAGGCATTTTGCCTCTTCCAAGCTTTGAGTCACATCCTCTGGTAGGGAGTAGAGCAATCTCTGAAGGCACTATTTAATCTTCTCTTGTTTGTTTTCTTAAGATGAAACAATTTATATTTTTGACATCTTTGTCAGCAGCTGTCCACTAAGGAGCTTGTCAGCCTGCCCCAAACAGTGCAAACTCCTTTATCTTCCTAGTGCTTGTGACGAGAAATGAATTATAAGCTGAGAAAAGAGCCTTGGCAGTGCAAAAGAAAAGGGCCTTGACAGGTTTTGAAGTGTGTGAAATAAAAAATAGATTAGACAAGCCTGTGCTTCCAGCTGCTTTTTGCATCCTTACCTCAACAAAATAATTACCACTTATTTAGGCAGAGTCACTGAAGTGAGGGAGGCTTTTGCTGAGCTCAGTACTGAGCATTTTGCTACCTGGAGCATGCCAAGATGCTTACCTGGATTTTGTGGTCAGAAGCTGAGGTAAAATACAGGGTGGAGTTGCAAGGAAGGTGTTGTCCTCCTAGGCAGGGAGGGAACAAGTGCTTTTCTGTTGGAGTAACTGTTCCTTCTTCCTTCCCAGGCACCAATGGCCTCATTAGCTCTGGTGTTGCTCGTTATCTCCACATGTGGCTGGGCTTTGCAGGCTGGTGCTGCTGGAGCTCTCTGCTGCTGCCTGAGCCCCGCGGAGCCCCTGCTGACAGTGCTCACCAGCATCTTCAAGGGGATGCTTTACACCTGGAGACCTCTCCTCCCAGCACACTGCTGCTGAACGGTGTGCTTAAATGTCTCACGGAGCTGTGGTGAGGCTGATCACCTGCTGGGGGTGGGGAAGGGGCTGTGGTACCATCTGTGCAGCTTCAGCTTCCTTCCTGCTACGTGACACAGGTCCCATCCCAGGCTGACAATCTGCAGCCTGCACGGAGAGGGAGGCTGGCAAACTGAAAATGGTGGAGAGGCTGGTGTCTGAGTCTTGATACTGAGTGCTGCTCTAAATACCTGAGATATAATACCTCCTTCTTCTAAATACCTCCTGAGGAGAGTATTCAGTCCTGCTGTGTTACCTGACAGGAGATAGGCTCACTGCAGGGCAGGTGTCCCCTGATTTAGCCTCATAACTAAGCTGGTCCCTCTGGCTATCTGTGAGGAGACCTAAATTTTAGCAGCTCATCCCTTTCATACCCTTTGAGAGTCCTGACGTTCTCATTCAGTGCAAGGAAAGACTCATTTCAGTTGTGTCATCCTCTCTGGTTGGTGAACTCAGCTTTTATGAAAATTGCAGATTTGGGGCCTCTAGACCTGCTCCTTGAGCACGCACCTCATCTGTAGGGAGCCCAGGAGCACTTCCCTGCTTTGGGATGAGCTGGATGCACTGTGCTGCCCAGAGCCCCTCTCCTATCCATGGGATCAGGAGCTGGCAGGGAGTAGCTGGGTGTGCTGGGATTGTTTCTGCTGAGTTACAGCCCATCAAAGTTCATCCAAGAAGCAGTGGCAGGACTTCGTAATTTGCATTTTAACATATTTATTCACAACCAGTTCTCCATGGGGAGCTTTCTGTGGCAAAGCAACCAAGTGCATATAGAGGAATAAACATGCATGTCACAGCTGCTCAGCTGAACCACTGTGTTTCCTGCTTTATCTCCAGATCCTGGAGCTGCCAACTGGCAGGTGGCATCGCCAGAGATTGGCACAGGATTCCCCTGCAAGGGGCTGAATGTCTCATCCCTGCCCTGCTGGGTAGCAGAGCTCAGACTGAAAGCACAGCTTTGAGCAGGGCTGAAACAGGCTGGGGCTGAGCCAGGGGCTCTGCAGGGAACAGCTGTGTTAGGGGCGCACTACACGCTGAGGGTCTCACCTCATTTTAGGGGGGTGCTGCTGTCATGGAAAAGCTGTGAAGATGCCTTGATGCAGAGCCCTAGGGGGACAGTGCTCAGAGCCAAAGAGCAAACATTCAGCAGCACTGCTCCCTCTCTGTAGAGATGCACTGGCTCACCAGGCAGCTCCAAGCCTTCGTTTAAATGCTTTGTGCTCGAGTTTTCTTCTTGGCACAGAGCTGAGTGCTGCTCTGCTTAGACAGTAAGAGTTTAAGCAGATCTTGCTGACATTTGAAATACTTTTCATTTTTTCTGAAAGGTATTTTGGAAGGAAAAGAAAAAATTAATACCATCTCTTCCATAGCAGGGAAGGAAAGGAAGGGCTGAGCCTGGAGAGTGGTGGTAAATGGAGTTGCAGCTAGCTGGGGCTGTCACTGGTGGGGTTCCCCAGGGCTCAGTAGTGGGGCCACTTCTGTTTAATGTCTTTATTGATTATCTGGATGAGGGGACTGAGGGCATCCTCAGCTGAATTCACAGATGACACGGAGTTGGGTAGAAATGTTGATCTCCTCTTCTGGAGGGTAGGAAGGTTCTGAGAAGGGTTTGGGCAGGCTGGATTTGATGGTCCAAGGACAATCGTTTGAGGTCCAACAAGTGCCAAGTTCTGCACCTGGGTCACAACAATCCCAAACATGACTCCAGGCTTGGGGAAGAGCAGCTGGAAAGCTGCTGAGTGGAAAGGACCAGTGGCATCCTGGCTTGTATATGCCATAGTGTGGCCAGCAGGACTGGGTTGTCAAGCATTGAACAGGATACACAGGGCAGTGGTTGAGTCACCATCCCTGGAATTATGTAAAAGAGGTGCAGCTGTGGCACTCAGGACGTGGTTTAGTGGTGGGCTTGGCAGTGCTGAGTTAATGTTTGGGCTCAACAACCTCAAAGGTCTTTTCCAACTGAAACAATTTTATATTCTTTAAGATACTACACTGAGAAGGGAAAGATGAGTTAGAAGAGAGCAGGTGGTGACCTTTGTCAGGTTAATGTGAAGGTTATGAGGTCCTGCACCTGTGACTGGAGTGCAGCTAGGACTGGGTCCAGCATTTGCAGTGTCAGATTGTAATGCTCAGCACAGTGTCTAATCCCACCTTTCTTCCTCAGGGAACTGGTTTTATTTGGGGCTTTTGGTGGTTGATCAGAGACACCAATGTGTCCTCCACGCTCTTGGTCCAAAGGGAATAGATCACTTGAAAAACATCAACAATTTACTTCCTGCAATGTCTTGTAAAATTAGTAAAGAGCATGAAAGGTGTATCTATTCCATGTTTTCTTATAGGAGTGTTGCTATCTGAAACTCACAGAGACAATCAGTAGAGGAAGGCAAAGTTACCATTGTTAATTTAGAAGGGTGAGGATTTTTATGGGGTTTTTCAAATATGTCTCATTTTTTAAACTTTTAACTCTTTCAAAAACTCATCCAAGTCTGAATTCCTGTGGGGACAGATAATTGAGAGGACTTGACTTATCAGCTAAATCTCATCAGTTTACTTCTACCAGCCCCTTGCAACATGAAGGGTGGCAGCCTACCACAGATGAACACCCATGTTTCTCTTTCCTTAAAGGAATGAACCACACTGCCCAATGTGAATGGTACCTGATCCTGTCCCTCAGGCACTGCATGGGGGCTCTGCTCCATATTCCAACACCTCTGAACAACCCAGATACTCAGACTCTAAAGTGCTTCACGCTCACGTCCAAGAGAACTCTTTATTATGTTTACATAGAGCATGAGCAATGTGGAAAACACTGGAAATTCTGCATCAGTGGCTTGGTTTCTGGACAGCATTGGAAATGGTTATGCAGCTGCTCACGTCGTGGCTGTATTAGGAGGTGTGCAGTGTGCCACGAGGAGCCAAAGCTTTGCACTTCCAACTGGGAAGCACCCACCTCTGGCACATTCACTGCTTGCTCCTCTAATGCCACAGTTAGGTGCTCAGCTGTCAGCTTTTCCTCAATTTCACTTGGAACTTGCAATTGTAGTACCTTGGAACTTGTAATTTTAGTACAAAAGCACAGTTTTTGAAACCAATCCTACTAATCCACAAGACCGTTCCCATTCCCTCTCCTCCCCCCTCCTCCCAATCCCATCCCAACTCATCCCATCCCCCATGCTCCCACCAACACATGCCTCCTTCCCCTCCCTCTCACCCCGGTCACACAGCAAATATCCTGATGCTGCAGTTCCAAGCCATGTGTCCGCCCCAGCCTATGTGATCCAATGGTCTCTGACCAGGTCCCTTTGTTCAGACGTTCATACAAAACACACAATAGGAAAAAAACAAAACAAAAGGAGCCAGACACAAGAGGGAGACACACTGCCGGGCTCCAGGTCTGGCCTCTGAGCCCTTCCACTAAGCTCCACAGCACTAGGCTCTTGGGGTACCTCCTTTCACACTCAAGGCTGCAGGTCCCAAGGTTTCCAAGGTGCATAGGAAAAGGAAGAAAGGAAGTAAACTACAAGCCTGTTTCTGTTTTAGGTTCCCCCCAACCCCTTTCCCTCAACCCAATGGCTGCTGGAGGATATTCTTGACTCCGACAGGTCTTTTCCCGTCTTCCAGTGAGACCCTGCCTGGGGACCAGGTTCACTGTAAGTCACTGGTTCCTCTCTGGAACGTGGGCAATGGGTTTGGCAGCGAGGGGAGGGAGCGGAACACATTGTGGGGGGATGACAGGCTTTTGTCTCACAGCAGGTGGGGGGGAAGATGTCAGGGAAGGCGAGAGAAAAGAGCCAAGGGAAGCCGGTCAAGCTGGCCCTCTTCTTGATGTTTATACTCAAAACTTCTCCTTGGGGTTGCTTCAGCGTGCCAGCGCCGGCCCGTTGTTCAGTCACCTCTCGCAGCCCTGCTGAGAAAAAGCACGTGGCGGGATGCTTCCGGCTGCTTCATCCTCTGGCTGGCTGCCCTCGTGCCCGCCGGCGATCTCAGAGTCGCAGTCAAGCGCCTCATAGATGGTCGGCAGCGTGGTCTGCTGGCTGAGGCGCTTGCGCAGGCCCACGAGCAGCGGCTGCGGCATGGAGGAGACGTCCACGTTGTTGCCGAGGTCCACCCAGGCCAGGCAAGGGAACTTGTTCATGTCCTTCATGGTGTCAGTCAGCTCCTTCATGGTGGCCCGCGTCAGCCGGTTGCCGTTGAGGGACAGGTGGGTGAGCTTGGGGAGCGCCCAGAGGAAGGGCAGCAGCAGGCGCACCATGTCGTCGTTGAGCTCCGTGAAGCTCAGGTCCACCGAGGTCAGGTGGTCCCCGTTGTTCTGCAGGTAGTAGGCCATGCGATGGACATCCCGCATGGTCAGGGGGATTCCTGACAAATCCATGGAGTCCTGGCTCACCTTCTTCTGCAGGCTGGTCTTCAGGCTGATGGTGGAGAAGGGGAGACATGGAGAGAGATCATGAAGGTTTAAGCATCATTAAGGGGAGCACTCCCATCCATCTCACCCAAGTGAGAGAGCATTTGGGACAGGGAGAACTCATTAACAATATGGGCTAGCATGTTAAGGAAAGGGTTAATAGAGCTCACAAATGCTTGTTTCAAGCATTTGCACCATACCTCAGGGCAGACTGTTCTGGGGCTTTGCTGTGTATTTTTAGCACTTACACATAAACTTTGCCAGGACTGGCTCAACACAGGTTGCTAAAGTGTCTCCCACTAGCAGATGCCAAAGGGTTTGTCTGTATGTGCCCATACAGGCGCTCATGCATAGAAAGCAAAAATAACCAAGGCAAGCAAACTTTCCAAAAGCACTGGTTTACTCTGTGTGGGGGCTGTTTGTGAGCAGCCTCTCCAGGTGAATGCCAAGGTCTTTGCTACAGAGGAGAGCCGTGTTAAAGGTCTGAGAAATTGATGTTTCATCAGGAAAACAAGAGATAGGCAAACTGCATTCCAGGAATGGATTTACTGCGTGTCCCTTTAAAAGCCTTCACAAGCAGCACTTAGTCAGTGGCTGCCAGTGGCTCACCAGTGGCTGCCTGTTTGGGTCTTTGTGGTCAGCAGATCATCTGGGATCTGCTGCAGCTATGAGGAGGCAGGGAGGGCATAAGGGTGCTAAGAGAGGGCTTTAGCCATTTCTTTTATTGTCTGCCTGGCAAAGGGAGTGAGGAGGAGGTAGGAAAGCTGTGTTGTGAGGCTGCTGGGAATGCAGAGGGAGTGGGGTGTGGAGCTTAATGATGGACTCTGGGTTTGTAAGAGTGCTGTGAGAAGTGGGAACTGTGGGACTACAGGAGCTGTTGGGAGATGCGTTGCAAAATTGAGTAGAAACGTGTGTTGGTGTAACACAGGAGAATCGAATCCCTTCGTGTAAATTCTGTTAATCTTGCTGCTCTTTCAGACACATCTTGCCCTAAGGACATGGGAGCCCTAGTAGGACCCCCCCCAGTCATGTACTCAGGGGGTCTTGTAAGTGCCTTATTGAGTTTGGGAGGATCAGGGTGGGTTAAGCATTAACCACCACTTTGAAGGTCCCCACTCTTCCTATCTGGCTCTCTGTAGTGTCCTGCACACCTGTGGCACAGCCAGTCCCTGAAAGCAAAGGGTACATGGGGACATGCAATTTCCTTGGAGGAGGCAACAGCACCGCAGGAGCTCCCGTGGCAGGTGAGAATGTCCCTACAAGCCTCAGTATTGCCAGGCTCTGCTGGAGCTGTGCAGAGCATGTGGCACTGCCTCTGCAGCTTTGCTTTACATATGCAGTTCATGGCATCCTAGAAATTTGAGCCCTTAATAATCCCCTATAAGCATGTGTTGACATAAGTCAGTAAATGTGCACCAGTGCAGGCCACAGCCCTTTGTGGACACATTCAACAGTGGCACAAAACTGCAGCTGCACTTCCTTGTAGGAGCATGAGGCAGAAAGACCTCGTGTCCTGCCCTGTCAATTCTTAAGCCCACAAATTCCTGCCCTGGGTTTAGCAGTACTTTGCTCAGTCTACTTCCATGTGTCCTTGTATTTCCCATGGGAATTCACTGTGCAAGGCTGAAACCATATCTGCAATCATGCATTTGGAATAATGAGCTGTCACAGCAGAGAGCTAATAACAGCATGAATTAACTTCTATTCAGACCTGAAGTATTGTAAGTAAAATGTATTACTTACTAAATATTTACACATCAGATGACCCACACCACACCTCAGTGGATCACAGGAGGGGCAAGGGGAGCAGTGCTTTCTATCCTGTCAAACAGCAGGGACTGATGTGCTGGGGAATTACAATTGGTCTGAGCACACAAGGGAGATCTCCAAAGGGCCTTGAAGATGGTACTTGATATCCCTCCACTATCTGGGCCCCAGAGATGGGACTGTGAAGAATTAATCCACCACATAGCTTGTAGCAGCAGTGCAGTTCCCTTACCTGCTGCAGCAGCAGGTGTGAACTGTGCATGCTGTGGTCTGGGTGGCACTGAGCAAGTCTCCCTTTTCCTGCTAATCCAAGACATGCTTGAGATCAGCACAGGCTTCTGGGAGCTGTATTTCTTCAACTCTCTTGAAAAACAATGTGTGTGTTTTTGGTATAGTTTGTCACCAATCACTGGCAGTGGCGTAGCACAGTCTACCACAAAAGAGGGTTCATCTTGGATGAAATCTATCAGGGACCATCCTCGAAACTGGAAACATCTCAGGTTTCCCCTAGCACAAGAGTTATCCTTTTAGTCATGCTAGGTATTTTATCTGGGTGTCTGATCTGGTGTACTTGTTCTAGCAGAACGGAGCATCCAATGCACAGTGCAGGTGTGCATTCATGTGGATCAAGTGAAACAGGGAGAAATGAAATGGAGTGTGAACCTGAGTGCACAGGGTAACTGTCCCCTGTATCCACAAGGGGCTGGTACAAGACATACAGCAGCCTTCTCTGGCCTGTAGGGGTTTAGAATAAGGCTTTCTTGGGAGTGTGGGGAATACAGGACAAACAAGCATAGAAACAAGACTGTAACTACTTCGGTGCCTGTTCTGCATGAACACAGCCTGTGGCTCCTGTCCTCCCCAGTGCTGTCAAGCCACGGCAGATCCTGGGTGGGTGGGGGACACAGAAAGGAGACACAAGCATAGGGGCACATTTCCCAGCCCTAAGCCTTGTCTCTGTCTGTGCAAAGCCTCCTCAGACCTTCCTTTTTACAAAGCTCCAGGGCAGGAGGCTAGTTTGGAGTGGGGATGGGAGCCAGGCTGGAGTGGGGACCACTGGAGGGCACGTCTGAGCCGGCACGGCTCCGCTGCCGGCCTCAGCACCAGGTGCCGTTTTTCCTGTCGCGTCTGCAGCAGCAGCTTTCTTAAAAGGGGACAAGTTTGAAAGGCTCTTGGGGTCCCCTCTGGAGCGACTTGGCTCTGAGTGCAGACAGTGATGACTGAAGGGAAATGTCTGAAAGACAAAAGCAATGTGCTCGTCTGTCTCTGCCCGTTGAGCCTCCCCTCCTGTGACCGCCGTGTGGAGACTGCAGCAGTAAGTCACAGATCGTGCTCTCACCACAACAGGTACTGCTGCTGCTCTCCCCAGCACCGAGCCAACACCCCAAGGAGGCTTTAATCAAGCACACAAATTATCTTCCCATAATTGATTCTCCAGACTGGACTGCTCCTGGCTGAATGTGTTTAAACCGTCCTGTCCTGTGCCAGAGCCCGCCCTCCCTTCTTTGCTGGCTTGTTTTTCTTTCCTTTCCTGTGTTTTTTGCCGCTTCCTTTTGCCCTCATTGCTGTACCTGCCAGGGTGACTCTGGGCCTCCTGTCTCAGGACTGGGGGCTCCCTCCTGTGTTTAAGCTGCTCTCTTGCCTATAAAAATGCCTCTTGTAGGGATGTGTTTGTAGGAGCCTCATCCTGGTGAACACAGCCCTATGCTGCAGCCAGGCCCTCAGCTCTCTGGTAAGTGCTGAAGCATGAGATGCAACACCCCACGCATGCTGTGAACCCTGGCAGCATCCCCCTCGCCTCCCTGGTGTTTCTGTGCAGCTCCAAGAGGCACAACTAAACCCCATCCCTAAGGCAAGGCATGGAATAGCTACCCACTCTCTCTATTGCTTTAGAGGAAAATGGGTCTGCAGTCAGAAATGGGTCAAGGAGATGTGGGTAGATGCTTTACTCTGAATTATTTGGCACTTGATATTTTTTTGGAGGTCTGTTAAGCTCTGTTTCTTGGGGGGAGAGGGGCATGATACACAGGGCACCAAGATCTCAGTCACTTGTGCAGCAGCTGAGAAAATACTAGGTTTATTTCCAGGGAAATGGGTCATGTATTATCCCCTGATTTCTGCATTTGAAACAGGCTTTAAGATTGCTTCAGCTGCAGAAGGCTTTTTTTTTCTTTTGTGTGAGATACAACAGCTACTTAGCAACGTAACGCCCGTGGGACTTGTGGACAGAGGCTGCAGAGCACTGGGGGCTGGATTAGCCTGCTGCTTCTACAACTGGTGCGCAGGGCACATTTGTAATTGTGAGGATTTGCATCTAACAAGGATCTGGACCCTGGATGCAAGGCAGCAGACTGTGTTTGTATTATCTGCAGCAAGCCTGGAGAGGAAACAGCCCCCCACTCCCTCAAATGCTGGAAAAATGGCTTGCAAGTGAGAAATTCTTGGAAACTTGGAGCAAAAAACAAGGACAATCAACAGCCCAGCCCCTACTGCCTGCCTGGGGATGCAGCATCCAGTGAGGAATGCTGCTGGCCCAGAGTCCTGTTCATAAAGGATCAGCACCCTGCTTGCAACCCTTGTCCACCCCTGCTGAGGGATGGGAGCTCTTTGAGGTACATCTCCTTGCTTCTCATGTGAAAGGTTTTAATTTGCATTTTTCCCAACTCCCTTCTTGGGGTGTGGCCTTTCTCCCAAGGACAAGGAGGCAGTCTTCCTCCCACCCTCGCTGCCACTTATCCCTTCCCAACTCTACTCTTCAGCAGGCATTACCAGCAGTCCCTAGGCTGCACTTTGAGCCTGGCTATAGGAGATCCATTCTAGATCAGTCCAGACAGAGCAGGGGCCTGAGAGACCTGTGGGTGTCTGGAAAAAAAATCCTCTCAGTGAGAAATGTGGGCTGTGAAAGAGGTGAAACCATTTTGTGCCTCCCAAAGCTTTATTTTGGGATAAAAATCTTCCTCTTTCCACTAACACCCAGCCAGTGTTCCAGCCTCCTGGGAACTCAGCTAGCACAAGTAAATACAGAGCTGTCTTGAAATGGGACAATTAGGAGATCTGAAATTAATTGCTAGTTGTTTGTCTCCAGGACCTGTCCCAAGAGAATTAACCCTCAGGCCATCTTCCAGGTCCTTCTTCAAGTCCATGAAGCTGCAGGCTCAGCATGTTTGGTTTTTTTATTAACACTGAATCCCATCAATTTCTTGCTCATCAGCTAAATTCTTTGGTGGCAGCACAGAAGGG